TAATGATGGTTCCTTTGACTGATACTTGTTGTGTTGGACCCTGCGCAAGCGACTATGGCGTGCAATTTTCCTTTTTGGCACTTATCTTTGTTCGTGCGGCTCATTCACAATATTTTTTTGAAATCCTTCAAAAGTCTTTTTATTGCAAATATCATCTCATTAGTTTGTAATTTTTATCGGCTATTACTAAAATGAGAGTTTTTTTAGCGGAAAAAAGCTTATTTTCTTGTCTTGTAGTCACTAGAAAACCCCATTTCACACCGTTTATTTGAAGGGTCAAAAAGAGAAAGCTGCCCCACGCGGAGATGCCACTTTCACATTCTGTTTGTCACGGCCGGCCGAATAAATGAACAATTAGACGAAACAAGTATATCGACAAATTTGTCGATTTGTCAATCAGTTTTTAATCAATCAGTCTTTTGGTTCAAGTCAATTAACTGATCGACAAGTCAATCATTCAGTACAGCTAGTTAGTCTATCAGTCGATTGGTACATTTCTCACTTATACGGTTAATAAATCAAGTGATAATCGAGCCATCAGTCAACCGATCAAGCATTCAATTGATCACCATTATGCTGTTCAACAAAGCTTAATCCTGAATTTGTGACCAATTTCAGTTGTGTTTACCGATCATATTGATGTACCATTGCTTGATACCATTACCAAAATCGATTGCCTCACCATACTGCTCCATATAAATTGTGACGTTGTGTCCTGAACGGAACGTCATGATTAGTGCTGTCTTGGCCGTAACTCAGTTTTTTCTCGAAAATAATTCAAAACTTTCTACGGATTTTTGATGCAAGCAAAATGCAGAAATAAGTTGAATTGAGTCTGCAGCTAAAATGCTGCGGGGAATGGTTTCATTGCACCAAGGTAGTCTTTTTGAAGCAATAGAAACTGAGGAATCACCAGGGGAAATTCGGGATGACCGGCTTTTTCGAATTACAATACCAGCTCTGATTCGAGCCGAATTCCACAAGGTAATGTCCGCTGTAGCCTAACTTTAGGTTATTTATACTGTAGCCTAACTTTAGGTTATAGATCGCTCAATTTTAAAACTAAAATTGCAACAGGCCATTTATTCCAAGCATACAGTATAGCACCAAGAATACTTTACTCAAAGGAGGGAGGGAGGGGACGGGACCCGTTCTCCGCGCCTCCATACACTCGGTGTGGGTATCTCATGCTAGCGATTTGCTGAAAATTTCATGAACGGAGCCCTTTCTCGAGAACGGTTCTGAGTCGGGAAGAAGCCGAACCATCGTTCTTCGCATTTGGGCGCAACGTGTTACCACCACACTATCGATCCTTATGCTCCAGGCTCAGCCTCGCAGCACATTTACTGTGTATTTGCCTTTCAAGGCAAGATGCATCTTTCTTTTCTTCTCTGCCTCCCATAAGCAGTTTCCATCTTTTTCTTTGTGTCGACCATTTGGTCGCTTCTCGCTGGTTCCCCAACTGAATGTTCCCGGACGTAGCTATACCAGGCTCTTCAGTCTTAATCTGGATACAGTATTCGCAAAATGTTTTACTTTTGAGCAGATTTCAAAAAAAATAAATTTTCACTAAAAAAAGCAATTTTTTAAGGCGTGTACCTTCATGGACGAGCCTCGCAAGAAGTGGTACCATCGATCCGGCGTGACTTTTGCCTTGCAGCATTGTAGCAACCAGAATATTGGAACACTGTACAGGGCATGCTGTATAACTTACTAACAATAGTAGAGCAGAGGTAGATTTCATCTTCAACGGGTCTTGCTGAGTCTGTGAAATCCGCATATATTCTATGTTACGACCAATTACATAGAATTTTTCCGAAACGGAAAATGTAAGTGGCGAGTTAAATTTTTAAAAATTTCTGCATGATATTACTGAAAACCTGAATGGTACCATGTAATGTTGAAAGAATACAGAAAAGGTCGCCAATGCAGTGGAATTTCGCTTGAACTGATATATAGTATTATTTGAATGAGAAAAACCCAAAATTGGAGAAGAATTGAGAAATTGCTATTTGCATCAGTGGCAAGATGAAACAACTCGATGAAACAACAACTGTTTATATATCAAAATAAAATGCTGAGAAATATTTTTTTGCAGAAAACGCAAAAATATCAAAGCAACATACAAAAAAACTGATTAATACTATGAGATAAAAAAATGACTGCTAGGCACATATCCAAAAAGGTAATGCATATAGGGAATACGTTTCTCTGAGCGCATACAATTCAACGTAGAACGGTTTAGCATAAAAGTTACGTTCGGCATGAGGGAGCACACCAGTGAGATACTGAAGTAGGATCCTCATATCAAGTGCTTGGGTATACTAGTTAGATGTAGTATACGGCTCAGGATCAGCATCTAAGATTCTGGCATGGATGTGTCTGGCGAGTGGTTGCATCCCTGTAAAACGAAATCCTATATCGATTATCCAGGCCTGTTACGTATGTGTCGAAAGTAGCGCATATCCTTGTAAGCCGATTTTAACTTTAACACATAATTAAGTGCGCGGATTGGATTCTCTGGATGTATAGGAAGTATAGCTGTCTGGAAATGACTAGCAGTTAGAAATGATACACAACTTGATGATGAATATGGTGTCTTACCTTAGCAGAGAGGTGCAGTTTTGGGTTTTTGGAAAAATTTTGGATTTTAATCAACCAGTTGCATAACAGGTCATATTCCTGAGCCCGTCGCTACAGCTTTTCAGAAAATTCGGTCAGAAGTTCAGAACTAGAAGACTATCGTCTTATTTTATTAAAAGCAAAAAATAAATTAGGAAGGGAATCAGTAAAATAACATCCAGATTCAAGTATCGAATATAGTCGATGTTATTGGATCGCGTGTAGAAATATTCCGGCATTCTACCACCGTATTTGATCAGGCGCTTGATTTTAAACGCCCCTTCTTGCAGTGACGGGATCGGCGCATCCTCCAAGTATCTGTAACAGAACTGCCCTTCTAATTTGTCCCAGATAGTCCTTTTATGTATTTTTAGTGATACTTCATTTGGAAATTCCTACTAATATCACTGGCATCAGATATCCACACCGACTCTCCAACTGGTTACAGTAATCAAGACACCGGGATGTGACTCTTCACTATAACGACACATTCACCAGTCAGGCATTTGCAACCATAACTTATCGAAAAAAAAAAGCATAATTGTGTTATTTAGAAATTGTTATTTATGTAGAAGTATGTTGAGAAAAGGAGGAAAGTAGTGATATGGATGAGTGAAAAAGGATTGTGGGGCATGTGGCAAGAGGTCGGTTGTCGTGTTTTTGCCGCATTTAAAAAAGGAACAGCCTGTTTTTGTTTGGGAAAAACCTGTTTTTTTTTTTTCATCCCATAGCTGTAAACGCAGACAGGTGCAAAATTTAACCTTGGCTAACCAAGTGATAAGAGGGTTTCGATGGCTAGGGAGAAAGTGAAGCAGCTATTATTTGAAATGATAAAGTGTAACTAACAGTTGCTTGCAGAGTTGCTTAGCTTCGTGAAGCAGATAAGTGCATCTTAAGAAATATCGTGAAATTCGTGTTATTAGCCTGGACTATGGGATTCCTGGTCAACTTGTCTTTATATATATAATTCCAGCACTGCTTTGCATATAAAATTGTAATTCATTAAAAGTGCCAAAAACCTTACTGTTTCATTTTCGCGGCTTTTTGTTTGTACGATGGATTGTTGAGCTTATCATGTATGAGCGATAAGAGGTAGTCGGCTGTAACATTGAATTTATTGATTATTTGACCGAAACCGTGGTGATAAGCAAGCCACGAATTTCGCACCTGCTCACCGAAAACCGGCAAACATAGAACTGGTATTTTGGCGCATGCTGCCTCCTTCAGACTGAAATTATACTTTTTGAAAATTTTTATATCGGTTGGTCCACGTGAAATTTTTGAAACGCAAATCACAAGGAGGACAAATTCTTCCTGTCAGAATGGTCCTTTTGGAGATTTTTAGATTTCTAAACAGGAATGTACCTTCTTACCTCTTCAGTCCTCCGTGAGTGATGAAAAGCTTGGTGCGTGGATGATTGAGTAGCTCC